TGTCTATAGAAGCAACTGGGGAAGTTATAAAACTTGGGAACTCTGGGCATACGACTTCTGAGCAGTAAGGAATTATAGAAACTATGGCTACATTTTAGCAGAACTTGGGCCTCTCCCATAATCCTAATCTGCGGCCTTTCATTTGTTTTACAAAGGCAGTTTCAGCCCTTGAACAGGCAGGGGATTAGTTACAGGGAGGGACTATTATCATTCTTGCTTCTAAATTAAACTGTAAACTAAATTCCTCCCAAAATTAGCTTGGCTTATATCCAGGAATGACCAAGGACAGCTTGGAGGTTAGAAGCAAGATGGAATCAACTAAGTCAGATTTTTCTTGCTATTATAGTTTTGCAACGGCAAAATTCCTTAGAACACTAATTCCAGTAACTTCACTTCTTATTCACATACTATTCCAGTGAAATATCTTCTTATCTTGTTTTATCTTGTTTTCTTTTCAAATACCATCTTATTATTGTGGCTTTTATTTATTCCATGTTTGTTTAAAACAGTTATCACTTTCTTTCCTCTTAATTTCTGTCCAGCTGCCAGGCTTAGGTGGTCAGTCAGAACAATGAGCCAAACTGAAAGTAACAATCAAGGCTTAATCACTTACAGAGATAGTGTAAACAAGAGGCAAAAATAAGCATTGGCTTCCCGATGTTTCATTTTTCCCCCAGGGAATGGCAGTAGGCAAGGGTCAGATGAATCAGCTCAGACAGGGAAAATCATCCCACTACTAAAGAGCCCTAAACAAAGGACTCCTGACATTTTTATGGTCCAGTAGACTGACAGGAGGGAGCAGGGGAAGGCTAGAACTAGGAAAGTACTGGGTAGAGTGGAAGAAAGTGGAAGAAAGATAAGGAGGCCTTGAATGGAGGTGTTTGGGTGAGAAATGGTTGGCTGCCCTAGGGGGCCTGAGTCCTCGACTGCAACTCCTTCTGGAAAACTGTAATCCACTGGCAGAGCACTAAGTCTGCTGTGGGGAAGTGTGTTAGTCTATTTTCATGCTGCTGATAAAGACATATCTGAGGCCGGGTAATGTATAAGGAAAAAGAGGTTTAATAGACTCAGTTCCACACAGCTGGGGGAGGCCTCACAATAATGGCTGAAGGTGAAAGGCACGTCTCACATGGTGGCAGGCAAGAGAAGAGAGCTTGTGCCGAGAAGCTCTCCTTTATAAAACCATCAGATCTCGTGAGATGTATTCACTATCACGAGAACAGCATGGGAAAGACCTGCCTCCATGATTCAGTTACTTCCCACTAGGTCCCTCCCACAACACATGGGAATTCAAGATGATATTTGGGGCGGGGGGACACAACCAAACCATATTAAGAGGGCAACTTTCTCCCAATAGGCCTGCCAGGCAAAGCCTTTGTAATGCTTAAAGTCAGACCTGGAAAATCACACATGGATTTTGATTTTGGCCTGGAGCCAGTCTCCTCATTTCTTGTATATTAGCGTCTACAATAATTTAATTTTCTCTGGAGGACACTTTTTCTAATTTCCTTTAGTGAAGACCTGCTGGTAGTAAATTCTTTCACTTTTTAATCTGAAAAATATCCTTACTTTGTCCTTGTTTTCAAAAGATATTTTCCCTGAGCACAGAGTTGTTAGGTTGATAATTGTCTCTCAGCATGTGGGAGATCTTATTCCACTGTCTTCTGGCTTGCATTGTTGCTGTTACAAAGTTAGCTAAAAGTCCAATTGCTCCTTTTAAAATAGTCCATCTGTTCTCTGTTACTTCACAGAGCTTCTTTTGTGTCTTCTGGTCTGTATTTTCTCTAAAATATGTCTTTTTATTTATTCTGTTTGGGATTCACTGGTTTCCTGATTTTGTATATCTCATTATTTCTGGAAAATTTTGATTTATTATGTCTTCAGATAATTGTTTGTCCCATTTTTTTCCCGAAACCCTGATTAAACACATTAGACAATATAACTCCATCCTTAATATTTCTTAACCTTTATGTTTTCCATTGTCTTTCTGTGCTAAATTCTCATAAATTTCATCACTACCAACTTGCATTTTATGAGTTCTCATTAAATTGATTAAATTTGTCCCCTAATTTTAAATTTTCACTTAGTATAATTTATATTCTCTAAAGTTCTATTTGGTCGTTTCTACAATATGCTTGGTTATTTTTTATAGTCCCATGCTCTCTGTTCTACTTTTAAATTCTTATTTGACTTCCTTGAAACAATGGACATAGTTTAAATAATTGTTAATCCAGAAATTCCAGTATCAGAGGACACTGTGGGTTAATTATCTTTTTTTTGTTTGTTTGTTTGCTCTTGCTTAGAATGCTATGGTTCCTTTTTTTCCTCTTTTGGTTGTGAATTAATATTTTTTGTAACTTTATAAGTGGTTATTTCCTCAGACCCTCTACTTAGCTTTTACTTAATCATGGTATCTTTCCTTGCAGACCTGAGAGTTATTTTTGTTCACCACTGTATTGAGGTATAATATTTTTGGGGTCTCATTTTTGTTGGAGTTCTATAGTATCTTTAATGTGGCAGAATCTGGGATTTGTCTACCATCTCCTGATCTCTGAATGGTAAGTGGTAAACTCTGAATCTCTAAGTGGTAAACTTATATTCCTTAAACTTTCTCAAAGAGAAAGCTTGTTCATTGTTCTGTTTGTCTCCAAATGACCAACAAATTTATTTTAAAAATGCTCAACATCACTAATCATCAAGGAAATGTGAATTAAAATGATGAGATACCACCTTACTCCGGCCACAATGGCCATTATTATTGAGACAGGGTCTTGCTGTCACCCAGGATGGAGTGCAGTGGCATGATTATAGGTCACTACCACCTAGACCTCCTGGGCTCAAGAGATCCTCCCACCTCAGCTTCCCAAGTAGCTTGGACCACAGATGCATGCCACCACGCCTAGCTATTTTATTTTTTATGGTTATTTTTTGTACTGAAAAGGTCTCACAATATTGTCCAGGCTGATCTTGAACTCCTGAAGTGAAGCAATCCTGACTTGCCTTCTGAAAGTTCTGGGATTACGGGCATGAGCCACCATGACTGGCCCCAGAATGGCTATTGTTATAAAGTCAAAAAACAATAGATGTTGACTGGATGTGGTAAGAAGGGACTGCTGATACACTGCTGGTAGGAATGTAAATTAGTGCAACCTCTGTGGAAACAGTACAGAGATTCCCCCCAAAACTGAAAGTATTTCTACCACTCTATCCAACAACCCCATTACTGGGTATCTACCCAAGGGAAAAGAAGTCATTATATCAAAAGACACTGGGATACATATGTTTATTGCAGCACAATTCACAGTTGAATAGATATAGAACCAACCTAACTGGCCATCAACTGATGAGTGGATGAAGAAAATGTGGTATATATACACCATGGAACACTGCTGAGTAAGCTATAAACAAGAATGAAATGCTTTTACAGCAACTTGGATGGAGCTGGAGGTCATTATTCTAAGTTAATTAACTCAGGAATGGAAAACCAAATACTTTATGTTCTCACTTATAAGTGGGAGCTAAGCTATGGGTATATATACAAAGGCATACAGAATGGTATAATGGGCACTGGAGACTCAGAAGCAGGGAGGGTGAAAGGGAGGTGAGGGATAAAAAACTGCATATTGGATACAATGTACATTAGTTGGATAGGGGAGCACTAAAATCTCAGACTTTACCACTATACCATTCACCCATGTAACCAAAAACCATTTGTACCTCAAAAGCTATTGGAATTATGTATGTATATACATATGTATACTACATATATATAGTATACATATAAATGTGTGTGTGTGTATAAGTTTAAAAAACCTTTAAAAAGCAAAAAAAATTCTATGTATCTCGGTATATAGTCTTTCGATACTTAGTCTTTTGTCTAATATTTTTCACTTGTTAATCAGTTTATTCATATATTTAATAAGGTGTTTCTCAAAAATTATCTAGCATTTTTGTCATCTCAGTGTAGGGGTCAGTCAGAGTACTAGTGTGATACTTCATCAGAAATGAAAGATCTTACATTTTCAATTGTTTTATTATCATTAATATAATTAATGCTTTGTCCTCTCTTTCTGAAAATCCAATTACACACGTACTAGACAACTTGATACTGTATAACAATTCTTGGATAATCCACTCTGGCATTTTTTCTCCTTTACTCTTTCTTCTCTTTTTGGATCATTTCTATTGGCTTACATTCAAGTATACTGATGCTCTCTGCAGCCTTGTCCAATTAGCTGAGTCTGACAAAAAAATTTTGCATATCTGACATGGCATTTTTTAACATTTGTATTTGACTTCATTTTATGGTTTCCAATTTGACTGAAATTCTTCTTCTGTTCCTGTGTACAGTCCACTTTTCTCATTAGACCTTTAAAATAATCACCATAGTTAGGTTAAACTCCTCTGATCATTCAAACTTCTAGGTCATCTCTTAGTCTGGTTCTCTTAATTGCTTTATCTCTTGACAATAAGTTTATTTTTTTCTTGTTCTGGTTTTGGTGTGTCTTGTAATTTTTTATTGAATATTAGATGTTGTGTGAGGAACAATAGGAGAAATTGGCTCCAGAGATGATGGGGATTACTGTTTTTGCTCTAGAGGACTCTGTAAATATTATTTAGCCTCTCTGAGCTCCAACCATGTCATCAGCAAATTATGAATATGTCCCAATTTCATGGTAATGTTGTGTAAAATATACAAAACATAAATGCAAAATAGCATTATTTATCTAGTCATAAACCCTAATACTTATCTTTAATAAGGCAATTAATTATCCATCCTTGATTATTTCCCCAAATGATAATATCCTTTTTTCCTGTAAATTAAAAAATTTCAAAGCTCATTTTAAAATTCACATAATATAAAAATATGCAAATTGGAAAGCCAAATGCCTCTATATGTTCAATTAAGATCATACTAAAATTGAGTAATTCTTCTACTCCTTCAATAAATATAAATCATATTTTCATATTTAGTGTTAATAAATGAACACATAAAAATCTGAGATCTTCCAAAAGTTTATTAAGCTTTTAGTTTTAAAGTGGAAACAATATTTTTAAGAGTCAATATAAAGAAATGCCCTCACTGTGATCCCTACCATATGTTGATTCTATGTGGTGGCAGGCAGGGGAGAATGATTCCTTCTTCTAAAATCAGAGAATTTGAAAAGTATCAGAAAGATAATAACAGAAAGCATGAAACAGAGTTGTGCTTTGAAGATGAGTTAGATGAAATTGTTATGTGAAGAGGTGTTTTCCAAAGTTGCAGACCCAGGATTCCTGGCCAGAAGCATGAAAATGTTTCTTTCTTGCTGTTTCTAGGACCTAGGCAGCATTTCTTCCATGTCTGCAACAACGTAAGAGACAACAGCCCAAACAGCAGCAGCAACATTCATCTGCTTTGGATCCATGACAGTCATGGTGTCTCCATGGGAGTGATGGAAGAAGAAATACTTGTATAAGTCATCAAGTAGACTGGCTCCTGGGGGAAAAGAAGAAGAATTCTTAGTGGAGTATTTTGACGGACACCATTGAATACACACTTCTCCCCCTTCACTTTTGTCTGCGCCTATTATACAGTCTGCAATGGCAAAGTAAATACTTTCCCAGGCTCTCTTGCAGCAAGAAAATGTGACACCATTTTGATGGCTATGATGTGAGTAGCAGGCTATGGGAGAGTTCTAGAAAAGCCTTTAACTTTGTTGACAAAGAGCTGGGAAAATACCCTGAATGCTACATTCAAGGCAGATAAGAACTTTGGAGCTACATGGGGCAATAAGCCCCTAAACTAAAAATGGCAGAGTGGCAAGTGGAGTCTGCATTTGGACAATTCTGCTAACCATCTCAGTAAGCTCTGCACTGCCTTCTGGATTTCCTGTGATGTGGGAAAATACACTTTTATTTGTATAAGTAACTGAGACAAATGCCTCATATTTATAAAAAGGCAGTATCTTCTTTGTATCTGCATGTTTGCAAATTATGTACCTTCCTGGATGCAAAAGAAAGTCAATATACCCCTTTGTTCAAGTTTTCCTTCTCAAATTATCCATTTACTTCCTATAGTCATAACATCCCCAGCAACCTCCAAGGGCACCAGCAGGAGTCTCTGCCCCACTTCAAAGCTTCCTTCTCATTCAAGTGCAAAGCTTTTTGCTGGTTTCAGTCATGGCTCATCATAGCCTCAGGGAAACTTCACTGTCTCTTATTTATCCTTGAAAACCTACTAGGCTCATCTTACGGATTCTAGTTACAGTTCTTTAGCCTCTAGCTAGCTTGATTGATTGGTTGACTGTTCTATTGTGAAATATACCATACACACATAAGATTGTAGAAAACATAAATGTATGTTATAAAGGGTGACAATAATAAGTTTATACATGTTCATAATTCAATGCAAGAATGATATTACTAGTATCTTGGAAACCTATTTATGACACCCCTGCCCGTTGCAGATCTTTTCCTCCCTCCAGAAGTACCCACTATCCTGCCTTGCTTGTTAATCACTACTTGCTTTTCTACAGTCTTACCACTTCATACTTTACCATATATAATGTATATGACTGTATATAACAATTATACATGTACAGATATACAGTTTAATATTGCCTACTTTTGAACCATATCCTCCAGATAGATTTCTTCAGCTTGTTTTTTCCACTTAAACATATATAAGATTTATCTATGCTGTTGTGGATAGTGGTGGTATTTTCATGTTTTATTGCAGTACATTACCTCTTTGTATTTATTATCCATTTTTACCAACAATGGTCATTTAGGTTGTTTTCAGTTTTCCATTACATGCTGTTATCAACATTCTCGAGGCTTTGAATGTAGAAATGGCTTGCTGGGCTATAGAGTATGGGTGTGCTTAATTTTACCATGCAATTCCAAAATGTTTTCCTTTTCAATTTACTCACATTGCTAGTATATAAGTCCTTCTCTTGCTTCACATAGTCTACAGCACTCGACACTGTCAAACTAATTTTTATAAATTTGGTGAGTGTGAAATGTTAGCTTATTCTCAGTTTTAAAAGTGAGACTAACTGTGAGATTAAGTATGTTTTTACCTATGGACTTTTTGGTCATTTATGTGTTTCCTCTTTTGTGAAGTTCTTGTTCATGTATTTTGCCCATTTTTCAATGGATTTGTCTGTAAGAGTTCTTAGCATAATTTAGATACTACTCTTCTGTTAGTAGCTCCCCAGTTTGTGGCTCATTTCTTTACCCTGTTTAGTGTGTGTTTTGATGAATAAGTGTTCTTACTTTTAATGTAGTTGGATTTATGAATCTTTTCCTGTAAGATTTGTACTTTTTATGTCTTAAGAAGTCCTTCCTTACCCTAATATTATAAAGATATTCTCTGATATTCTATTCTAAATTTGTAAAAATATTTCATTTTTAAGTTATCCACCCATCTAGAATAGGAAATAATTGTTGCATAGGGTGTGAGGTAGGATTCTATTTTGTTTTCCATTGTCCAGAACATTTATTGATTAGTAGTACCTCCTTTTTCCCCACTGATCTGTGGTACTGATTTTGTCATATTAAGTTTCCTTATATGTTTATTTTGGGGCTTTCTAATTGTTTCAGTGGACTATTTGTCTATCTCTGTAACAATGTCACACTATCTTAATTGCTATTGCTTTAGAATCCTTGCTATCTGTTAGGTCAAGTTCCCTCACTTTCTCTTCCTTCTTCTTCAGGGGTGTTTTTGATTATTCGGAACCATTTGAACTTTCAGATGAATTTTAGAATTATTTAAAAATTCTCCAAAAGTGTTTTTGGATTTTGACCAGACTTGTGCTAATATTCATTTTAAATTGTGGGAAAGCCTAACATCTTTTTATTAGAATATTGTGTTCTTATCCATGAAAACGGTGTACTGATACATGTTTCTATTTGCCTTCTGTAATGTCTTTAAAATTTTATAACAGTTTTACATATCTTTTGTTAGTTTTCTTTGTTTGATGGCTTATATTTTTTGTTGCTATTATAAATTTACATTTCGAAAAACTTAAATTTTCTGTTTGTGGCTCTCCAGTTTTAGTATCAAGGATGTATCTGATTCATAACATGGTTTTCCTTCGTTTTTTACATTCTGGGATAGTTTGTGTAAGATTAGAATTATTTATTTCCTGGTTATTTTGTAGAACTTTTAACAAAGCCATCAAAGTCTGATGCTTTCTTTATGATAACAATTTTAACTAATGATTCAATTTTTTTTCAGGTTATTGGGCTACTCAGGTTTTGTATTTATTCTTGAATTAACTATGGAAATTACATTTGTCTAGGAATTTGTGAGTTTTGCCCAAATGCTCAAAATAATGGTATGAAGTTGTCAGTAATATCCTGTTTTTAATTTTAGTTGATGTCTGCAGCACCTATAGCAGTGCCCTCTTTTTCATTCTTGATGTTGATTATCAGTGTCATCTCTTTTTTTAATCTTGCTTGCAGTTTCTCAGTTTTATTAGTGTTTTGAAGAAAGAGAAAAGATGACAACTTTCATTTTTTGGATACTTTCTATATTTAGTAGTTATTCTTTCATTGATTTCTGCTCACAAGTTTATATTATGCTTATATTATTTTACTCCACCTTTCTTTGGATTTATTTGCTTTTCTTTTTCTAACTTTTGGAGTTAAATACTCAGTTTATTACTTTGCAGATGTGCTTTGTCTCTAGTATAAGCAGTAAGGCTATAATCTTCCCTCAATACTGCTTTAGCTGTATCCCACTAGTTCCAATTAGTAGTTTCATGACCATTCAGTTTGAAATATTTATTAATTTCTAGTTTGACTTTTTTCCCTGACTCATGAGTTAGAATGTGTTTAATTTTCAAAAATATAAAGTTTTCTAAGTTATTTTTTTCATTATTTATTTCTAATTTAACTGTTAGAGAATGTTGGCTATATGATACAGATTCTTTGAATTTTGTTGATGTTTGCTCTGTGGCCTATATTATATGATGCATTTTGTAAATGTTTCATGTGTATTTGAAGAGAATGTGCTTTCAGTGTTCTGTGTAAGTCCATTAGATCAAGCTTCTTAATTGTGTTCTTCAAACCTTTTAACTCCTTACTGATTTATTGTCTATTTGACCCATCAATTTTGAGAGAGATGTATGAACATGTCCCCTTGTGATTTTGAATATATTGTAGTTGTAGTTCCAGTAATTTCTTTTCTATATATTTCAAAGTTATGTTGTTAGGGGTATATAAATTTAAAATTATGTATCCCAGTAAATTGAATATTCATCTACAGTAGCACTTTTTGTTCTGGAAGTCTAGTTTTCCCTAATATTTGATATAGCCACACCTGCTTCTTTTTGAAGAGTATTACCCTGGTATGTCCTTTCCCATCATTTTACTTCCAGGCTTTCTCTGTCTCATACTTTTGGGAGTTTCTCTTATGAATAGTTTAGAATTGAATTTTAAAAATATAGTCTAATAATCTTTGATTGTTAACTGGAGAGTATAATCCATTTATGCAGATTGTGATTATTGTTAAACTGGATTTATTTATACCATCTTAGTTTTTGCTCCTATTTGTTCATTGTGTTTTCTAGGTTTCTTTTTTCCCTTTCTTTCTTGCCTTCTTTTGGGTTGATTTTTTTTCCCTCCTCTCATTCCTTTCCCCGCCCCCCCCAACTCTATTAGCTTGGAAGTTACATGCTTTATTTTAATTCTGTCAGTGGAGATCTTGGGAATCATAGGTTACACATTTATCTTAATAAGTCTAAAGTTAATCAATATCTTATAAAGTACACTAGTGGCCCCAAATTTTGTACTTGTCCTAGATGCACTCATTAAACCCATTAAAACCCATGCTCTAGGCAAACAGGGATTAGCAGACAAATGCCAGGCCCCAGGGTTTTCTTATTTCTATAGATTTTCGTTATTTCTATTATTTCTTACCTCTGAGGAATTCCCTTACTTCGCCTCCTGCTAAGTCATGTGTTATAAGAAGATAATTATTGTTATATCCAATAACTATTTTTCAGAAAAGGAGAGATGTTTCTAAGGGTTTCTGGTAACCACATTGTTAGGATTTCCCTCTTCTAATCACCTACTTCCTGTCTTGTGGATTGGAGACTGCCATGGTTTTTGAGCCCTCCATTTCCCCAGGATGCCATCTAGATTTTCTCTGAGCCCAACTTAAGTTCTTAAAAGTTCGTACCAGAGTTTTCTCCTATCTACCCCTATAAACCCCTTGCTCTGGGGTGCAGTACTTACGCTGTCAACAGAAAGATAAGGGCACAGATATTCCAGATGAAGAGAACATGTGAGCATTCCAGTTTAGTTGATATTGGGGGGTAACTTGGGCTAATTATTGGCAGATAAAGTTGGCAACCACCTGTGGAAGGTCCTAAATGTAAGGCTGAAAATAGACCGAATGTAGTTCATAAATGTGGAGTCATCGTGGTGGGAGGATGAATAGGAAGGTGAGGTGACAAGAGCTGTGCCTTAGGGAGATGCTTCGAAAAA